CATTGGACGAGCTGCTTATGGTACAAACAATAACTCCCCAATCACGGGGAGGTGGGCTCCCATGGCGCTGCCGCTAGTACGCCTCTTGCAGCCTCTGGTGGCCGGTGCGCTATCCCTCTCGCGGAGCCAGTGGTGGGCGAGAGAGACAGACATACCGAGATGGAGGGGGGAGGGGCGTTATGGAGAGAGATGATCCCTGCGGTGTGGTCGCGGATCGCAGAGTTCCGCCACAATTGGTGCCATTATCGGGCCTCGCGGCTAACGTGCGTGGGAGTGACGGAGATAGACTGCGCGAGCCGGCCGGGCTCGGGCCGAGTGTACGAGCGAGACAGACGGGGACCCGCGACCTCCCGCGCGCCTCCAAGGACGCCAGCAGCGCGCTATCGCGGCGTGTCCGCGAAAACTGGGGATTATTTGACATGGGCCTATTATACGTGCATTAGGCCGCATTATTACACAGGCCCATTAGAACGCGTCATTGCAAAGGTGGGGGGCTAGTGGCGGATGGGGAATAGGAGCTAAGATAGGGTGGGGAGGTGGGGGGGGGACTTCCCCTACCCTAGGCCACAGGCTTTGACACCCTGTGTGCTGCGTACCAGTTGTACGATTCGCCCGGCCCGGTCCCATTCTGCAGTTAGACTGGCCGCATGCACGCACACGTTTACATTTACTTTTGCGGTGCACAAACCATTTTTTTTTTTTTTTTTTTTTTTTTTTGCAGCTGCAGGGTGCTGGGTGCCCGTGCCCGTGCCCGTGCCCGGCCCGCGCGGCACACTCTGTTCCCCGACGCCACCGTGGCCACGGAGCACCTCGCGGCCTAACACGTGCTTCGCGATGACGACGGCGGCAAAGTGGCCGCCCTGCCCTGTACAACGATAAGCCCCGCGGCCCGCGCGGGGTTCGGCACGGTCCAGGACCATCTGGTCCTATCGCCCGGGCTCGAAATAAATTAGACAAGGAGAGGCGTGAAGGAGCGGAAAACCACACACCTGCTGCACGCGGAGAACTGAGCGGACGACCACATCCACGACTGCCTCGACACCGCCACGCGCACGCCCGCGTCTCGTGACCGCTGGTTAACGTCATGGTGCAAGTCGCCGCCGCCGCCGCCGCCACCGTGTCGCAGGCGGGGCCGCGGTGGTCAACTAACTGGACCACTGGTGCAAGTCACTCATCGCCGCGACCCCCGGCGCCCCGTCGAAGGGTCATGTGTCGCCTCATTGTCGCTCGGCTCGGCCACCGTGCCATAATCTATCATCGCATATCGCGTAGCCGTTTCGCAAGGTGTAATTACTTTTCCCCTGAGGGTGCTTCTAGGGTGTTCGTAGGGGCTGGTCCTGGTCGGAGTCCGGACGCGCGCTCTTCCTCCCCCCTGCCCCTCCCCGCGGCTGGCGGGATCCTCCTCACGGCGATGTCGGAACGATACCAGACCGATGACGATATCGGAAAACTGGCGATGTTCGTGTCGAATAGATTTTGAATCAGCTCGAAAACCAACACTCTTCTGGTTTTTTGGCATCGTTTTCGATTTCCATTTTTGCAGCGGGTCATTTACCCCGCGTCGTTCAAATGGGCGCCATTTCCCGCAGCGCAGCGCGGTGCTGCCGCCATCTAGCGGCGGGGCGGGCGAACTACGTCACGCCGAACTATTCATTCGGTTTGTTTTGATCTGTTGAAATTTCCGTTGATGTTTTCCCGTTTTTAAAAAGTGTATGAATGATATTAAGAATGGGTACCTGATACGTGTGGCGGTGCCCAACGGTTTTTTTAAAAGACTGTATTTTAGGACTGGCTAGTCGGTTTCACAGTAAGTTGTGCCTCCTTGTTTTAAGATAACGAGATAAATTTCTGGAATGATTTCGCGGGTATTTCTAGGCTATCGTCTCTCTCTCTCTCTTGTTTAAAAAGAAAATATTGTTCGTAAACGTATTCTTATTCACACCCTCCATGGTTTGAACTCCACTTTCAACATATTTTTATCCTTTTTAACTGAAGAATCACCTTTGCCCCCCGCAAGAGCACTGCCTCTCTATTTTCACAGAGTCATTATAGGTTATATACCACCCCTTCCTCCTTTTCATGCTTTTGTGCCCTTTTGTTGTTTGTGTAGGATTTTCACTACCATGTCTGGCAAAATAAAAGTCACTGGAGAATGGAAGAAAAGAGTAAGAGCGGAGTATATGCGTCTCCGTCAAGCTAAGAGGCATAAGAGAGCAGATGAAGTCAAAGTTGCCTGGAATGTGAACCGTAAGGAATTAACAGGTACAGCAAATTACCAATTTCATTATTTCATTTTCTTTTGTAAGTCCGGCCTTGTTACTCATTATTGTACGGTTATTTTTCAGACTGTCTGGTTGAAGAGAATACAAAATGGCTTCAAAACAAAGCTGTGTGGACATGGCAGCAAGAACCACCACAGCATGCTGTGTGCATGAAGAAGTCAGATGTTGTGGCATTAGATGGAGAAAGGCAATCGTGTCCCATCAAAATTATTAACTCCGTCACTCCCATCCCCACTATGTATACTTGGGCTCCAATCCAACAGAATTTCATGGTGAGAACAGTTTATCCTTTAATCTCAAGTAATTTTGTGAAAAAAACTGTTTTTCCTTCATACTAAACATTTTAAAATTTTAGGTGGAGGATGAAACTGTTCTTCACAATATACCATACATGGGTGATGAGGTTTTGGACCAAGATGGCACTTTTATCGAAGAACTTATCAAAAACTATGATGGTAAAGTTCATGGTGATCGTGAAACCGGTTTTCTTGATGACAGCACCCTGGTTGAACTTGTACATGCACTTGTCACGTATCAAGTAAAGGATGTAAGGATTCCTTCATATTTCAGTTTACAACGTTTTTAAAAAAATAAAAAAATATTTGTTTTCTAATTACACGAATAAATGGTCATGGTCCCCATCCAGGAGGAAGATGATGCCAAAGGTAAAAGTGAAAGCAACAAGAGTAAAGACAAAGCAGTAAATAAAGACAAAGATGATAAAGATAGTCAAATACCTGGAAAGACTGACATAAAACCTCAAGAAAGTAAAGCAGGAAGTTTGTCTCCTATTGAGGATTTGGAGCTCTCTGGTAAAACTTTGCCTTTCCCCATAGATACAATTTTCCAAGCAATTTCTGTGTCGTTTCCTGAGAAAGGTTCTCCAGAGCAACTACGTGACAAGTATGTAACTGACAATGTTTTATAAGTTGCTTCTTCTCCTTCTTTACAATGAAAATAATGATTTGTTTTGTTGTAATGCAGGTATATTGAACTGACCTCTCGTGGTAATCCTAATGTTCGGCCTCCTGAGTGCACACCCAACATTGACGGTGTCGCTGCAGAGAATGTTCCTCGTGAGCAGACTCTTCATTCTTTCCATACACTATTCTGTAGAAGATGTTTTAAATATGACTGCTTTCTACACAGTAAGTTTTTTGGTTTATCTTTTATGTTAACATGTATTTGCTTCAGTCTTTTAAAAATATTTTCTCTTGTAGGACTACAAGCATCTCATGCAGGGCCAAACATGAAAAGAAGAAAAGGGCCAATTCTTAAGACTTTCCCTGAGTCATGTGGAGCACATTGTTACATGCTACTGGTAAATAATATTAGCCGTAATTCTTTCTTTCTTTCTTTTTAGTTTAAAGTTAAGGAATTTGATGAATGTATTATGTTTTGTAGGAAGGTATGGGGGAGAAATTGGCTTTAGCTAGAGTTGCTGAAAGCAGACAAGAAAAAGAGGAGGAAGATGAAAGACAGAGACAAAAAGAGAAGGAAGATGAAAGATGCCGTGAGAAAGATAGTGTTGATCGCAACTCCTCAGATACTCCTCCGAATCAGCAGGGTCCAAGACCTAGAAAGATTCGTAAACAGAATTCGTTAGATTCTGCAAATGAAGTAAGCTCTGAGGATAGTAATGATAGTAGCAAGTATAAAGGTATGTTTTTTAAACCAAGATGACTTGTTACTGGTCACATGTAGTTTCCAATCAATAATGTTTTATGTATGTCAATATTCTTGCAGGGCGAGATGGAAATGGCCTTATAAATGGTACTGGTGACAATGCTCAACCAGGCAGTAGTAATTCTCATCATCATACCAATAACCATCACCACCACCATGGCCACAATGCAAGAAAATCTATTAACCATGATCCGGCTAGTTTTGAAACTGTGTATCAAAAATCTGCAACACCAATATTTTCAATGTTGGATCAAATCGGAGTAGAGGAATGTGCTGAATGGACGGGTTCTGATCAATCCATGTTCCGTGCCCTTCAGAAAGTTTTCCACAATAACTTCTGTGCCATTGCCCAAATTATGTTGACTAAAACCTGCCAACAGGTAAATGTTTATGATTTTTATTCAATTTAAAGTGAATCTTAAATCATTTGTTCTCACGAATATGATTATTTTTTCTATGTTGCTCTCAGGTCTATGACTTTGGTCAGAAAGAAGCTTCTGATATTCCTGCAGAGGAAGCAGTGAGAGACTCAACTCCACCTCGCAAGAAGAAAAAGAAGCATCGTTTATGGTCTATGCATTGTCGAAAGATTCAAATGAAGAAGGATTCAAGTTCCAATTATGTAACAAATTTCACACCATGTGATCATCCTGATCAACCTTGTGACAATAATTGCCCTTGTTTTGGAACTGGGAACTTTTGTGAAAAGTTTTGCCTTTGCAGTTCTGAATGTAAGTTTGTCTTCTACTTGTTAGAGAGGCTTGGTTTATCTTAGTTCTCCTCTGAAACTTCATGTTTTCCTTGCTTTCTTCCAGGTCAAAACAGATTTCCAGGCTGTCGGTGTAAGGCACAATGCAACACCAAGCAATGTCCTTGTTATCTTGCAGTTCGAGAATGTGATCCTGATCTATGCCAAACATGTGGTGCCGACCAGTTTGATGTGTCACGCATCACATGCAAGAATGTTAGTGTGCAGCGTGGTCTTCGTGAGTATTTTTCTTCAATGTTTTACTAATCAAGTCTCAGGAGGTTAAGAATATTCTTTATGAGTTACTTTTTTTTTCCAGATAAGCATCTTCTTATGGCTCCATCAGATGTAGCTGGCTGGGGCATCTTTTTGAAGGAGTCTGCGCAGAAGAATGAATTCATTTCAGAATATTGTGGAGAAGTTATTTCACAAGATGAAGCAGACCGAAGAGGCAAAGTGTATGACAAGTACATGTGCAGTTTTCTCTTCAATCTTAACAATGGTATGCTTTTATTATTTAGGGAAACGTTTTCTTTATCATTAGTAGGACAAGTGTTTGTGGGTTATTAAATGTGTTCTTCTTGTACCTCTGTAGACTTTGTTGTGGATGCCACCCGCAAGGGGAATAAGATCCGCTTTGCCAACCATTCAATCAATCCTAATTGCTATGCCAAAGTCATGATGGTTAATGGTGATCATCGGATAGGTATATTTGCCAAACGGCCTATTTTGCCTGGTGAGGAGCTGTTCTTTGATTACAGGTAAGAATCACCAAACTGCCAATCATAGATATGGTTTTAATTATTTTATTTTTGTTTTGTTTTATCTTGCTTCTTAGGGTCTCTTGCTTGTGGCCTTTGGTTCTTACTGATCCTCATTGTTTCTTATTTTTCTATTTACAGATACGGACCTACTGAGCAGCTGAAATTTGTTGGCATTGAAAGAGAAATGGAGTTCCTATAAATATTTTTTAGAATTTTCTTAATATTCTTTATGATCACTGCCAGAGTCTTTTCATATCGTCATTACCATTTGTCTGTCTGTATCTTTTTGTTGCATGTAATAAGGACTCACTTTGTAAATCATATTTTTCTTAAGGTGTAACTTTGAAAGTTGTGCCATGTTACTTTGTTAACATTTTGAACACTATATTTGGACAGAGAATGAATTACGAAATCATCCATCAATCACTTTTTAAGCCTCATTGTTTACCAATTTTGTGTGTGTCTGACAAGTTCCTTCCACACTTTGTTTTATTTGCAATGCAAGACTGTTTGTGTACTTCTGTCCGTTCCAATGTGATAATTTTAAGTTCAGCTTAAATGTATTCAAAAAGTCTGTAATGAATTTTTAACTGTTTAGAATATTTTCATAGCTTTGTTGTAATTTTGTAGGTCTGTTTCAACACATCTGGGAACATCTTCATCTCACTTGAAATGTACTATGGCCATATATGCCTTATATGTTATAATTTTCACCCATGGTCTAAAGGTATGAAATACCATTGTAGATGACTTTTGCCAATGCTAAAGGTCCAATTAAAAGAGTAAC